TCAGTCAGTCTAGCCAGGCTTTCGGTCAGCCTGCTTTCGGTCAGCCTGCTTTTGGTCAGCCTGCTTTCAAAAACACAGTTACTAGTCAGTCTGGCCAATCTAAATTTGGTCAGCTGGCTAGATAAGTTTTCTTTGGTCATTTCAATGTATCTAATCAGCACTTCGGGAATTATAGTATTTTACTATTTTTTTGTCATATTATTACCTTCGACTAAATGATCCGAATTGTACTCTGGATTATCCTTTAGATTAATCTTAAATAAGATACTCCAATCTTGACCTATATATGCTGCTCACTTTACCAAAGGGTTCGTCAACACTCCTCACCTATACACTACTACAGTTCAATTCCATGCTCTGTAGCTTGATGATGCTTGTATTGTGTGAGAGAATGTAGGGATTTGTTGCAGTCGGGAATATCACAACTTCTTCCACTTGAAAAGCTCCTCGATAAGTTATGTCTTGCGAAGTGTTTCTGCAGAGTGTCTTTTCTGGCGTATTGATACGTCCTCGCACTTGGATGGAGACTGGTGCGACCGAGACACACGGGGCACATAAGGCTTGCAGTCACTGCTACTGCTTGCAACTCTGCTGAAACAGTTGTATCAATACTGATTCTGGTATGCAGTTGCTTTGGAATCTCGAGCCGATGCAACTGTAAGCGTAGTTCAAGTGATTTGATACGATCTTCCAGGAGCTCTGTATCGTCAACAGTGTCTGCATTTCGATTTTTAAACTCAAGTTGTGCAATAGTGGTTCGCTCGGGTATGACCTGATTCTGATTAAATTCGAACTTCAGAGGTTCGCCTCGAAAGTTATGATCGATTATCTGGTTTCCGACAGTGTGAAAAAATTCTGTGTACCGAACCTTCATGGTTTGTGTAGACAGTCTTTTCCTCGTGGCACGAACTTGACTCTGCAGGTGTTTCAACTGCTGAAATTGTTCAGAGCCTTTCGCTTTTTGAATCTGATGATATTTTGAGATGATATCACGACGGAGTTCTGCGCATTTCCGCCTCAGATCTTTGAGTTCCGGGTTCAGTTCAATGTTGATTTTTTCTTGCTTGCTGAGCTCTTGGGGAGCAGATGCATCTCTCGTTAGACTTGCATTACTGGACAGCTTGAGCAAGGCATCCCTTGCCGGTGTTTCCATGAAAGCGGATTGAGTATCGTCCCTTATTTGAACATAGTATGCAAAAGCGCCCCCTCTCCTATGTCCCATGACCTGATTTCGAGAATGCTCGTCCAGGTGCCCTGTGAAAGTCAGTAAATGTAGGCTATCATAGTATGATATCCTTACTCAAGTTTGCTGCGGCTCCTTTACGGTATTTGTACAAGGAGCCAGGTTCCTTAAACCCTGCCGACCTGCTGGTTCGAATCTCATCTTCCTGTGCACGTGCATATGTCAAAGCTTTTGTTGGGTGAGTGATCCAGTTACCCTCTGAATCTTTCACCGCACGTCTGAGAATAGGAATATTTTTCACGGAATCTTTGAAGTGTATAGGGGTACTCTGGCGGTGGCCCGGAATATCTGTATAGAGCCAAAGATCTCTTGGACTCTTGATATGCTGACTTGCAAAAGCATTATCGAGAAATGCATATTCTAAGATATCTTGGATGACACATAGACCCAAGTTATCATTTCTCTCAGTGTATGTGTAAACCGGCCTGTATCAAATTAGACTTGAGAATTTCTCAAAGCATAGATCACTTACGCCACACCACGATTCCTCCTTCCTTTGTTCAGTCGATGTTTGACTCTCATGAGAAGTACTTTGCATGTCGGATGCTCTGGATGCTTTACCATGTAGAGTTCAATATCCTTCCATAACAGAGCGTCATTCTGCCTCATGTATCCGGAGGATTCGACCAATGTACCAGGTCTAGCAGATGTTGAAGTCATCATCTTTCGCAGTGTACTATGCTGCTGCCGACAACGCACAGTTGGGAACCATACATTGGTTATTCCAACAAGATGGTGTGTGGTATATAGAAGATCATCTATATTCATCGATGGTTGTGTTTTGCCACCCAGCTCTAGTTCATATTCGTCGGTAAGAGTAGTGCAAACGAGCTGAGAACTGTTAGACCCAACATAATGCATTACTGAGAATCACAATTCTGGATTTGATGAACCTACCATTGTCATTCGACGTCTCAGGTCATAATCAAAGATTTGACCCATCTCTTCACACCAATACATCCTAAAGTATCTTGCAAAGACTAGGAAGCCTGACTGGTGCACCACTGCATGATTCTCCAGGTACCATCGGAAGAATCCTTCGATGACCCTGAGATTGATATTTTGTAGCCAGTACTTGTATTCTTGCGGCTTCAGATTGTGGACAAATCTTGAAGAAATAGTCAGTCAAGAAGTTATTCATTGTATTGAGAAGTGATCACCTTTCAAAATTTCGATGGACAAGTATTATACTCTGCTGTGTTGTTGTCGCAAATGAGCTTTTAACTTCAATATCAGGCTCTTGGACAAACTGGTTCCAGTCGATCTTACTCGAGACTTTGCCTTGACGTTTATCCATAGCTGGAAAGATGAGAAAGAGTTAAAGAATAGATAAATCATGCTTGATTGCTTGTTCTGAAGACTACTTATATACGCGCCCACATACTATTTTGATCTGACAGAAAGCATAAGGAATCCATAACCGCAAGGTAAAAAACTCCCTGAGGTGAGCGAATCAGAATAACGCACTAGTACATAGTTGTAATAGTACATTGATTAACAGTGTACAGTGAAAAAACCACGGTTTTTTACTTCAAGTTCGCGCACAATCATGTCTTTCTCGTCCCCATCAAAACTTACCCCGCAAAATTGGTCTGAGGCGACAGCGAATTAATCGGTATGGTATGATTTCAATTCTTAGACATAGCGCCTTCTTTCCCTTAAGCTATTTAGTATGTAGAAGATTACCGTGGTAGGCTACAGCTTTGGCCTGCCCTTTGAAACCCTCTATTCTAGATCTCACCGCCTGTCCGCCTTGGCAGTTGATCTAAGGATGAATACTCTCTATTGCAGCTTATCTTGTTCTTAAATTTTCTCATATAGTAATTACAATATCTACTATAGCAACGATATTAGGACGCCTACTAATTCAAGGTTCCTGACGCTCAGTCTGGCGGCAGCCAGTGCCATCTTAGCAATAGCTGACGGTGCTTGGGGACTCTTGAGAGCCTTAGCAGTTATCCAGATTGTCAGAACAGTGCCAGATCCGGAGTAGAGCAAACTGAATCACCACCCAGAGTTTCTACTGAGGGGATTTAAGCAACAGCGCAGTGCCTATCAGTAGTCCCCTCGCGAAATAGCACTTAAAGATTGTTCCTGTTATACTGAGTTTGTCTGATACACTTTGCGCCACGTTGATATCGCGTCATATCTAGCGTGAAAAATTGGTAGAATTTCTTGGTACGCGTCGATGACGACATGACGCCCTCAAACCCAGAGAGTTTTCATATAAATTTCAGGCCAGTAGCTCATTAAAAAATGGACCAACGAGAAGGCGGACGGACGGGTCTTCAAGGATAATCTCAAGAAAGTCTAGGCTCGGAGTCTGAACGTAGAGAGGCGCTATAATCCAGCAGATAGAATGGAACACGCCAATGGACCTATGTATCTTGGAACTAATTTTGGATCTTATAGCTTAGATTGTGCTTTACGAGCAATGCCTATATAAATTGGACGCATAACGGTCTTTTTATCTGCCGAAATTTGCTTAAAGGGCAGCTTGACAGACAGACAGAGATAGAAGTTATATTGGACACAACACGAATTCAAAACCGTGGGAGACTTCGGCCAGAAGTGAGGGGAAGGAGGCACATCAGCGAATCCGCATTTCGGGCGGATAAATACTTTGACCGTTTTCCGCACCACTGACATCCGATAGAAAGGGACAGTACAGACAAGACCGCTATGGGGCATTATATCCGTTTCCCTCGGCCACAATGAGTGGAAGCAGCTCCCCTGACTATAAAGCACTTTTTCTCAAGGCAGAGGAGAGAAGGAAGTGGGCAGAAGAACGCCAAAAACAGGCAGAAGACAGGGAGAAGCAGGCAGAGGAGGAGAGGAAGCTCGCGGAGGAACTCCAGAGGCAGGAAGCCGAGCTGAGAAAGCAAGCAGAGGAACGGGAGTGGCAAGAGAGGGAACGCAACCGACCGACGACTTTTCCAGAGTTTATCCGATATTGCCATGATCTTCTTTGGAGGCCCCTACGAGCGCAAACACCGTCTCGCTCCACGACGGGCAAAATCCCTTCTCCCACCGGAAAACACTGTCCTTTACGACTCCTCCCGTGGACCGACTGTGAAGCTAAACAACAGGAAATCTACGATTCTGTTTGCCGCTACCTTCAACCGACACAAGAGGACGCGCGACAGTTATTCACGCCACTAGTTGCATTGGAAGATCATGGTCGTCGATTTGCGCGTCGACCGATTAGCAGTGAACAGGACCTCGAGACCTATGAGCGACTTGCCGTTGAAGACCATGTGCACGATATCGTCGCGGAGTTATGCAAAATACCAGGTGCTCGTGAGGAGTTTTGTTTAGGTAGCGGAGTGTGGTTCGACAATCACGCCAACGCCCTGGACGGGGATGATGGAATTGATGCTAGCCAGCCATCAACGACAAACCCTTCGAAGCCGGATCAATTCTGCATTCACCGGGTGGACGGGACTACGAGTACCTTGCTCACTACAGTCGAATACAAACCACCCCATAAGCTCTCCGTGGCGATTTTGCGTGAGGGACTTCGGCCGATGGACTTTTGGCACGAAATTGTAGAACGGGATACTGTTCCGACTGAAGAACCGCAAAAGTCAAGATATAACGCCGCTCGGCTGGCCGGGTCCGCCATTGTTCAAGAGTTCCACGTGATGATTCAAGAGGGTCTCACGTATTCATATTTAACGAACGGCCTAATGGACGTCCAGCTCTGGGTGCCCTACGACGACCCAACCACCCTCTATTACCATCTGGGTGACCCCAGTATGTGTGGAAGACCTGGATCTCCCATGACTCGAATTGAGAGAACTCTATGCCTTTGTTTGATGAGTTTTCGCACTCCTCTTCGTGATCAGGCCTGGCGGAATGCCGCCGAAGACGAGCTACCGAAATGGCGCACGAGTTTTGATAGCGAGCGTTCCCATATCCCATCGACAGCATTACCACAGAACCCGAACGTAGACTATGCTACCTCTGAATATAGTAGCCCGGAGCAAACTACATCCGAGTACCTACCTTCATTGTCTCCTACAGGGTCTCCTGTCACCAAAGGTCGTCGAGTACTTACACGAGCGGGCTCTGGCTGCGCGCCATTAACCCAACAAAATGTCCGAGAGGATTCTCCTGATTCTGAGGTAGACCGCACCGCATCTGTGGGACGGAAGCGGGGGTTCAGCCAGGTCACATCGTCCCCTACAACCAAACAATCTGCACTTCAGACAAGTCCCCAAGGGAACCAAAGCGGGCAATCTCGTACACTTGTTGCTCGATATTGCACACAAAAGTGCCTTGTCGGATTACAGCAGGGCGGTATGCTAGATCAAGACTGTCCAAATACGGAGCTGCATATGCTTAGCGGAAATAAGGACCGCCACCCAATCAGTGCAGCTGACCTTGTGATAAAACTTAAGGAGCAGCTCGATCAGGATCTGGATCATAACTGCACTCCAATAGGCTCTTGTGGTTCATACGGTGCACCATTCATGATTACTTGTGCCACTTTTGGATACACTGTTGTTGGGAAAGGGACGACTTCGAGGCTCTGGGCGGAGGTGTCACGCGAAGCAGAGGTCTACCGAGTTCTCCAGCGTGCCCAAGGATCGGCAGTTCCAGTCTTTCTCGGTGCTATCAATTTGGCCCAAATCTACTTTCTTCACGGCGCGGGGAAAATCCGTCATATGCTACTGATGGGCTGGGGTGGTATAAGCGTGAGCCATATGACTCGCGACAAAGCCATTCAGCGTGCGATTTCTCGGTCGGTGAAGGAGATCCGCTCTTTAGGAATTTGTCATCAGGATCTTCGCCCGGAAAATATTTTATGGAATGCTGAGCTCAAACGAGCCTTGATTATTGATTTCCATCGGAGCACACTGGAGCGCCGGCCGAAGCACAAGCGACCAGTCCTTCTCAAACGACTACAATGTGGTTCTGAAGAACGTGAATCAAAAAGATTGCGTGTCGGGTAAATTCGAGGCCACTGGAGATCGGACCTTAAACTGGAGCAATACAGGAACTCAACAGGCACTACAGATAACCCATGCACAAGTGATCGAACGAGCCGCCATCTTTGTGCACGGGAACTCTTCTTCTATGCCAATGACTTATAACCATTTATTACCCAGCAAGCCTGACCTCCGGGAAGACAATACGAGGTTAATGTTCTAGACTACTCCATATCTGTGGAAACTGTCTCCCTGTTCGCCTTTATGTGGTCGGTTTGCCAGCGAACACTCCGTCTTTACAGGCGTATCTGGTAGCCATGCTTTAACATCTTATATCTCCCAGCTCTGGATGATGAGAGACCTGCATTGGTCAGCAAATTTGTATCGACGTGACAAACTTCTACAAGCTACTCTCAGGATAGATGCCATTGGGGATTAGAACTGCAAGACCTAGTCCGTCATCGTGCTTGAGTCTTACCATTATAAAGACGTAGACATCGCATTTCCAACAGTACTGGAAAAGAATCCGGAGTAGCCTTTTCTTTCTGCAAGCCTATTTCTCACGAAACAGTCTGAGCTGGGCTGCTAGAGTATAGTATTATGTACAAATGTTTTATTCTTCTGCCATTTGACATATATCTGGGTTCTTTTACTAGGTCTCCGAATTTGAAGAGGATATCCAGGTTTTAAATCAGGCCTGTGGAATGCCCTGCAGGGAGCTTCTTGTGAAAATCCTCTTGCGAACAAACTGTCAGGTGAACAACGCTTAGAGACGGTGGATCTCTATAAAGTATCGGATAAACCCAGGATTCTGGACTAAACATGTTGATGGAGACTATACATAAAGTTGGTGGTGCTAAAAGGCTGCGGGCAAAGAGAATTGTGCATCATGTGACTATCCACTCCGGCTGAATAGCTATCCCGTCAACAAACCTCAGCATCAGCGCCATTTTATGGGATTGCCCGTTATTTATACAGTCGTTATTAAATTCAGAGTCAACATGTTAAGGAGCCCAAGTGGTCTCTCGGAGACGTTGCTTAGCGGCGGCGAATTGATGTCCGATAAATTAATTCCACGATGGCCAAATGGTCATCCGTAGCTAGCGTAGTATTACGTCTATTGTTAATGTGAAAAGCCCACGGAAATGAGAACATATACCACGCACAACCGTGTCAATCCCGTCGACACCCAGACTTACTCCGTACTGTACTTAGTATTCATGGTTGAAGTATTAAGATACTGCAGACGCGCTTTACTGGGAAGCTGAAAGAAAGGGGGGTCCGGGGGTTCTCCCCCGGAAACCGTTGATTATGGGGATTAAGATTGAGTGTTACTGGGACGTTGAAAGGAAGGGGGGTCCGCACAGTACATCGCTTGTAGACCGGTGGTTATACATAGTAAGTAGATCTGCACTCCATAGATTATACAAGATCCACCGAAATTTTGGCCCTGCCCTCTCTCTATCCCGTCATGTAGAACCACTATCATGCCTACCAATACAGTTCGCTATCTTCCTACAGCAGGACTGGCACGACTACTCGACGACTCCCCCGGACGTACCGTGGGCCTCGGGGACTTGGAGCTCCGTGGAGGCGTCATGAGGATTCCCTGCGAAGACACGAATCCCACTCGCGGCGCTGAGGTCCGTCGCCGTTTCGGGGTGATGATATCCGGTCCGGAGGAATTGCTTTCGCTGAGGTGTACCGGCACGAGACGCGCGCGTTTCCTCCGGAACGCGGCTGGCGGGGTCTTCGGAGCAGAAGTCGCGGCTGCCGCCATCTCGACACTCGCGACATCCTCGTCATCGGCGATCGCGAGCTTGTGTCGCCCGAAGAATCCGGTGGGGTGCTTCAGATATGCTACTCGCGTGGTGAAAGAGGAGGAAGGCTCGTTCTCCGGCATGGGGATGAAGCGCTCATTCTGGATGATCGAGCTCATCGTGCTATCGTCCAGCAGATCACGCTCGGCGTGTTGGATCTCGCTGTCGGTCATAGCCTTTCGGCGCCGCAGCATCTTGTCCTCGAGGGTGCCCTTCAAGACGAGCGTCTCGACGAAGACGGGGCGGGTCTGGCCGATGCGGTGCGCTCGCTTGATGGCCTGGCTCTCGACGTTCGGCTGCCAGATGGGGTTAACGATGTAGACGCGCGAGGCGTTGGCGATGTGCAGGCCGTGCGAGGCCTGCCGGAGGTCCATGAGCAAGACACGCACCTCCTCGGACTCGCGGAACAGGGTCAGGTATCCCGCTCGGGTGTCGGGCTTGAGGGTCTGCGCGTAGATCCGGAAATCGATTCCGAGAAGCTCGATTCCTTCTGCAATCCAGTATGCGGTGTTGGGGTTCTCGTAGAACACAATGATTTTCTCGCTCTTGTGGTACTCGGAGATCTGGTCCAGGAGGTACGTCAGTTTGGCCGAGGCGGTGGCGACGAGTTTGGTTTTGGCAAGTGGGGAGTCAGGCGGCAGGGTCTTCACCAGACCCTTGCTGTAGGTCTTCTTGGGCGATTTACTCTTGATCGGCTTGTCTGGCGTGGTCTTCTTCGTCTCGATGTTGTCGCCCTCGCTACTGGCGAGTCGAAGCTCGCGACGCACCTTGATGCCTGCACCAGCGAGCCCGTCGGCCGGGTCGGGTTTGTTCAGCTGTTTGGTAATGAATCGCTGCGCGTGATGCGCTTGCGTGATGCCAAGTAGTAGGGGCTCGTTCTCTGCGCTGGAGCTATCGAGAGCCCACATGCTTCGAGCATGCGGAGGGAAGTCCTCGACGAACACGCCGAGTTCGTGCATCTGCTTGAATGCATGCCAGCTGCTGCACGCCTGAGCCTGTTCGGCAACCTGGATGCCCTCTTGTAGCATTCCAATGTCACTGTCGGTCATCGTATCGCGGTTCTTCTCCAAAAATTTCGAAGCATTTTCGATCGTACTCGAGAGGCCTTCATCTGAGCCGGCCCACCAGAATCCCGCCTGGCGAAGGTTGCTGATAACCTGGCCCAAGTGCTTCCGGTTGCGGGGGTGGAACATATAATCTTGATCCTGTCTTTCTGAGGTGATTGCGTTCACGGCCAAGATGAAGATGAAGTAATTCAGACTCATCTTATCGTAGAAAGTCGGCTCCAGCTGCACGACTCGGTTGTAAAGTCTAGGAAGCGTGATCTCATTGTGAATGACATCCAGCCGATGACGGACGACGAGGCCTTGCAAAGTAGCCCGGAGTGATGAGGCTTTTCGCCGTTTCAACCCAGGCCCTACAGGCGTCATGTATGTGACCCAATTGGCCTGGTCATCTGTTCGATTCCGGGAGTTCGACCAGGGTTTCAGCTCAAGGAAATCAATCACAATCCGCCGCAACTTCTCCAGATCCTTGAGCTCACTATCCTTGGCCTTGCCGGTCTTCTTCCGGCCCTTCAACACAGCCGTCGTCGCCTCGGTCAAATCCGTATCGCTGGTGTGGGTCTCCTGTGAGGCTAAACTAACCTCCACCCCGTAAAGCCCGCTGGACGGGGTACCAGACACCACCCATCTCCGCTCAATGCGCAGCTGCTTGAGTAAATGAGCCATGTTCGACCGATGTCCGCTGCCGGCGGCATTGTGGCCCTCGTCGACGATGATACGCAACCAATGGATCTTGGTCAAGGGGGAAGTTGGAGGTTCAGGGAGGTGTCGAGTGAGGTGAGCCGGTTCACCAGCTTCCTTCTCGAAGCGTACCTTCGAGAACAGGATAATATCATATTGCAACAGCTCATCAGGGAAGGGAAGTTGATCACTGTTGTATCGAAGAGTAAGTACCTTGAGGCCTTGGGTGTGGGCTTCGATTTCCTTTTCCCAATGGTTGACCAGGTTCGGTGGAGCAACGATTAATGTGCCCGAAGAGAGATAAAGCTTCTGGGGAGGTGGCCGCGGGTACGACACGCCACTACGGCCTCCGTGCCTAGCTGGGGGCGGAGGGAGAGTATATGAACCGCGATTCCTCTCACACGCTTGGACACATCTGTTATACAAGGCGCCGAAGTGGCCTAGTTCGTCAAAATGGGATTTCCATGGCAGCGAGAACCGACCGGCGGTTGCCGCGGCCATTTCGACCAGACTTCCAGTTGTGTCCCGGACTTGAGGTTTCAATTCCTGGTGCTCCAGAGGAATTTCCGGGAAATGGCCGCGTGTTGCCAAGATCACAGCCAGACTGATCAGTGTTTTACCGCAGCCCATCGTTTCCGCCAGAATTCCTAGCAAATAGAGCGTCAGCAGTTTGGCTCCCCGTCAACACGCACAATCAAGATAGCCAAGAACAAACCTCCACAGGCCTCCGAATACATCCTCTTCTCCCGCACAATGCGTCCCTCCTCCTTGTCATAGTAATACTCCTGGCCCAGTGGACCTCTGCGAGCCTCCAATCGAGGATCTAGCATCTGCGCCGGCTGAGCCTCCCGCTGCACCATCGTCGCAGCCGAACGACGTTGATAGGGATAGAGCGGTGTCTTGAGCCCCAAGACCCCCGAATAATCCGGACCGGACTCCTCCCCGTCGTCCTTCCCCTCCCCTCCGCTCGACGCCGGCGCCGCCACCGTTAGCAACTGCTCCATGGCCCTCCTCGCATACGGGTTGTCTTTGATCATATCTGCGCGAGGCGCCGGATCCTGCAGGGTGTTGAAAATGTACCAAAGAGACTCCTCATCTTCCTCCTTCCCATCCTCCTCGGCATCCCGCTTGGTGGGGCCCCAGGTATTCCAGTCCGCGACAAAGTCGCCCGTCCACGCTTCCACCGAGCGATCGATCCTCTCCATGACCACCTTGAGCGCGCGGCGCAACGCCATATTCGACCGCGGCAGGTACCTGCGCCCCACATCGTCCGGGAGCACGTAGACCTGCACCCCGCACCACGACGAGTGTTCTTCCGGGTAAGTGAAACTGATCGTCCGGATCCACTGGTGGCTCTCCAGGTTGGCGACTTGGGAGGCTGGGTACCCGTCCGCCTCCGCTGCCGGGGCCTTCTCCTCCACACTCTCGTAGACCGGGTTGCGCTTGCGCAGCACCCCCA